GATTGGTTTTGTGGTCCAGGGTCACATATACAGTCTTTACTGGTAAATTACCATTAAGAGATCAGGTGTTAACAGGACCTTTTCAAAAATACCGGTAAATTTACAGGTATGAGAATGTAAAGTCGTTCCGGTACTTTTACGGCAATTTACTGGTGTTGCTGGGCTAATGTTTGAGGAGTACACTCTAGTACAGGGATAGGCAACATCGGTCCTGGAGTGCCGCTGTCCTGCAGAGTTTAGCTCCAACCCTAATCAAACACACCTGATCAGGCTAATCATGGTGAAGCATTTGAACCATGAGGTAGGATCTGGAGCAACTTTACCACTCACAAAGTGCATGAAAACAACTGGATACAAGAATGTGAGGAAACATTCCAGCACTTGGACCAGTCAGACACACAATTATTCATTATATTTAACCCAAAAAGCAAACTATGTTTTAAAGTTCTGTGGACAACCCCCAAAGAGCAACTAAAACCCCATAAAGGCAGAACAGGCCTCTGGTTTCCATGGCAAGCAATGACAAATAATCTGATAACACTGGTTTTATTGCTAAAGGAATGTGGAACTCTCTCTCCATTTGCCCATAGGAAAGACACATAATGCCCATAAAACGGGACATTTCCCCATTCTTTCATAGAAAACCTTCTATGAATGACATACATATTTCCAGGACATTGTGTATGTGTATTATTACTGTTCTTGTATATGTCTTTTGTGTCGTTGTAGTGTATACTGTTTTATGCATGCTTATCAAAAGAGACACTAGTTGATGTAACCTCACATATACCATGTTTTGTATCTATGAATTTTTAATATGATGATATTGCATATTATATGTTGATACCTATGCAACATATCAGTGTTATAAGAAAGAATCTTTAATAGTTTTGCACCAACACCCAATCCAATTACATATGCAAAATACCATGCTCGAAGACAGAGTCGTAAACTTTCCCTTCAAAAGTTTAAGTTACCATTGGCTCAATGACCCCCTGGAGGTGTGACCTCCACGAAAGTTAAAAGGCCACTACATCAGTGACCTCCCTCTCTTATCATCTTCTGCTGCTCTTCTGCTTCGTCTTCTGGTTGCTGATCATGTGGGACTAACCAATTCCCGGGGCCGGTGACAAGCCTCAACTATACAGTCATGTCTTCACTTTCCACCTGGGAGAAAACTCGCCCGACTACCACTGAGTCAAAATAACATCTTTGGAGTTCATCACTCTTCAAACCCGGAAGAACATTAATGCAATTCCAACACCACCAAACTTTTAAACCTTCAAGACTTTCATCTGAGACTGCATCTGGATGCTTGTTCAACAGCCAAGGCAATGCAAGTATTGTACATTTAACTAAATGAAACAGAGTTTAGTATAAGCTGTATTCTCTGGTTTCTCGAACAGTTTTATTTATCCAGTTTAACTCTCCTTTGCATGCATGTATGAGTGTGCGTGTATGTTTGTTAGACTAGTTTTGTGTTAGTGTTTAGTTAATAAAACCTTTGTGCACAAATTACATGAGTTTCTGATTCTGTCACTGCTTGTAGATAGTGTCCCTTTAAAAATTCCTGATCTTGTTACATGCTCTAATGCACTAATACTGTAAGAGAGTTATTTTCTATGGCCACGTTAATATTATTTCTTAGAGTTAATATGAAATTACACTAAATGTTTGCTGGACGAACAGATTAGTTGATGATAATATTAATTCTGCTACAGTTACTACTGGCAACTGATATAAATAATTGCAATTAATTATAATTAATTGTAATTATTTATATATATTTCCCTTTTGAGCTAATTTGCTACAAAGGTCTTCGGGATCACTAAGGCTACAGGCAGAGTTTTTTTTTTTTTTTCGTTTTTTTTTTCAGGGTTTGAGCTAAACTCTGCAGGACATCGGCACTCCAGGACCGACATTGCCTACCCCTGCTCTAGTACTTTATGTTACTTTATAAAAGACCAAATGCAAAAGATTTTGTTAATGAACAGGAATACAGCATATTTCACCATATTTTCAGAATAATTATGCATGGCAAAAATGAGTTTAGCACCAAAACACTGCTTGAACCAGTTTATGCTAAGCTACTGCATCATATTAATATAAGCGTCAAAATAAACACACTTTCATGTGCGGTGTGAATCAGGCCTAATACTGTCATATTATTAATGTTAATGTGTGTGTGTTTAAAATACGCATATGTGTTTCCACATCTGGGATAAATTAGAGGGAATGTCATGCAGGGCCATATCAACAGTTCTCATCAGCACCACGGACAGCGTCGTCATAACACGGCACTGTGCAGAGCCTCCCGCTCCATTCAGAACCATGGACAGCTCTGCAGTCAGATTGGTACCATTGACATTTAAGCCTTCGTCCTGATTTCAGCACCCTGGAGAGCTCCGCATGAGGCATACATGCTTATTGTGTGACTCAAGCAATGGTTTTTAGTTTGTGTGGGTCTTGTATTTTTATTCATAATGGAGATAGAAATGCCACACAGGGCCTCTTTACTTCTAAGAGTAATTATACCCAAGAATCAATCAAAATCTGCCATAAACATGACCTTTAACCAAACATTTTAATATACCTCAGATGGAAGCTTTTAGAGGTTTAAAAACATCATAAACCACAAATATCATAGAAAAAAGTGGCTTTTACAACTGAAGACTTCATTTTAGTAACTAGATTAATCATGGGTACAGGCTGAAAATGGGATTACAGATATGAATACTAATGCAATACAGAGCCTTTAAATCTAGCACTAATGGTCAGTCTGGAATTGCAGGCACTCCTTGTTAAATTAAACCACAGGAGGGACATTGAGAAGGAAATAAAAGTCACACTTTAAAATGGTGATACTCAAAACTGCCGTACCGCAACACTTTTCTTTCAGATCCTTCTTTCAGAGAATTGATGCTTATATGGTATTTTTTTCTTTCGGTCAATCTGTATTAATTAAATTTAGGTGTAGACCACCATTTGAATAATAATCTGGCAGAGAGAAAACTGGTATTACACGCTTGAGAACACTGAGCTGTTATTGCTATTATTATTGCTCATACTTAGGGGTAAGGGATTTGAATATCACACCTGCACGCACATGAATGATACCTGAAATCATGCGGCTTATTGAGGAGAGGTGTGCTATTATTGTCTAAGCAACCAGACTAACGATGTTCGCCTTGTGGTTGTAAAAACAAGTCCAAAAAAATATCATAGATTCACAATAAATAAGAGACTTGATCCATATATAAAAATGACATGCATCCTACAGTTTTGGTGGTAAACGTCCTAGCAACCACACAGCAATACCCTGGCGACAATCCCGAACTGTATCACTTTTGCACAGGCAAAATACATCTTCATAAAGTTGCAATGTAAAGGAAATAGTGACAGATCTTTGCTTCCATATTTTGACATCCATCTGAGACATAGATAAAAAAAATAAAAAAAAATAAATGTAGGGTCAGGGTCTTGGCTCTGTCTCTCGGTTGTTGATTGGATGGAGGCAGATCTGAATGCGAGCTTGCAAAGATCAGGGTTTAAGCAAACTAAATGATTGAAGAAGTTCAGCTTATGTCACCAGCGAAAAGTCTGTCATTTTATTGGAAGTTTGAGTTATCATTTTTAATAAAAAATTACAAGGTCAAAACAATGTAAACAAGGATGAATTGTGCATGGATGAATTGTTCAAAATTACATCAACATTACGTGCATTCATGTGCATTAAAAAAAATATTTTTCCATTTCATGACAAAGGAATAGTTCACCTAAAATGAAAATGTGCTTAAAATTTACTCATGCTCAAGCAATCCAAGATGCAGATGGGTTTGTGTCTTCATCAAAACGGATTGGAAAAATTTAGCATTACATCACTTGCTCACCAATGGATCCTCTGCAGTGAACGGGTGCCGTCAGAATGAGAGTCTAAACAGCTGATAAAAAACAATGATTTAACGTCTTGTGTGTTTGTAAGAAACAAATCCATCATTTAAGGCGTTTTAACTTTAAACTATTGCTTCTGGCCAAAATACCGCCAAGTCCATAATCCATAGTAGTGCTACCTAAAGTTTAAACCATCCATCCCCTTTTGCCTTCTCACATCAAAATCCACTGACAATTTTTTTAGAAATGTTTTGGAGTGTTTTTGCTTGTAAAACATGCTTGAACTGCGCATATTTCTCTCAGATGAGATGCTTTTTCTGGAGAAAGTGATATCATGGATAGAGGACTATTTTAGCTGGTTAAAAGCATCTTAATGATGGTTTTGTTTATTACAAACATATAGATTTTCGATTCACAAGACATTAATTTATGGTCTGGGGTCAGGTGGATTACTTGTGGATTATTGTAATGTTATTATCAGCTGTTTGGACTCATTCTGATAGCACCCATTCACTGCAGAGGATCCAGTGGTGAGCAAGTGATGTAATGCTAAATTTCTCCAAATCTGTCCCGATGTACAAACACATTCATTTAAATCTCAGATGTCCTGTGGGTGATAACATTTTCAGTAAAGTCTCATTTTTGAGTCAATTCTCATTTTTGAGTCTACCTTTAAGCAAACACCAAAAAACAACTCCATGGTGAAAATCGAAGGTAAATTTTCTAAATTATAGCTTCTATAATAAGATTGAGATGGTTGTCACACGTTTGCATGTGTTACTTGTACCTATGAGGTTCACAGGTGAAGGTCTATGGAGGTGTGTCAGCAGATATCACAGGCAGCATTAAGGAGCTGTCTGTTCTCAACATTTAGAGAAGCAGAGGCAGGTATATTCTACCCAGGAGTCAGGAGACCCACACTCAAGCACCCCACTGTCTTCCCCTGCCAGATTCACCAGCTGCCTGCCAAGCCAAACACGGGAGAAATATGAACCTGTCATACTATCGGAAGCCCTGCATACGTCTGCTCCCGCGGCATCTTGTCAGATAGGATAAGAGGGGAAAAAGGAAAGAGACAAAGAGAACAGACAAAAGAGACACAGAGGGAGATAAATAAACATTAACCATTTTAAAGGGACAGTTCGCACTAAAAAATTCTATTATTTATTCACCCTCATGTTGAGCATAAAAGGAGAAGCTTTGAAGAATGTTCATGCTTTTTTTCTTCCATAAAATGCTAGAAGGGCACCTGTCAAGTGTTACAATTACATTCTGTTAAGTTAGTTCCTGTTGTGTCTGGATGAGTTTGTGTTAGTTTCAATGGTTACTGATTAGTTAATCCTTGTCCAGCTGTTCTTGTTTAGTTCCTTCATTTACTGTGTGTACTGTATACATACTCCCTGTTCTCTCCAGTCCTTTGTCAGTTATTGTTTGTGTTGTACGTGGTTGTGATTCTCCTGAGTTTGCTATTTTATTAAAGACTCTGTTTTTCTTATAATCATCTCCTTCATCGTGCGCTTCCTACCACCACCTATCCGTGACATCAAGCTCCAAAAAAGCAGCATAAAAGCATAATAAATGTGATCCATGACTTATGTGCTATATAATCCAAATCTTCTGAAGATACATGATAGTTTTGTGTGAGGAACAGACTGAAATGAGTCTTATTGCTTGACAACCATTTAAAAGAGCATGGACTTTCTGTTGTCAATATCTTCTTTTGTGTTTCACGGAAGAAACAGAGTTATGCAGGTTTGGAACGCCATGAGGGTGAGTAAATGATGACAGAATTGTCATTTTTGATCACATCTACAGTATATGTGAGAGTAAAGTATATTATTCTCAAAGAGAGAGAGTGAGAGCATGATACTGTGTTTTCAGCCTCGGGTGTGGCTATGTGCTCTTTGGATTCGGTCATTACAGACAGAGGAATGATAATGATTTACATCAAAAATGAATAGCAAGAAAGATATCGATGAAGTAATCAGCACCATAGCTGACTTCAGAGACAAAGATAGAGAGAATAGCAGTTGAGTACACTGAAAATGACAGGGTGATTGTCTTTTCTGTCCACATCTCACCTTTAAAGGAACAGTTCACACAAAAAAGAAAATTCTTTGATCATTTACTCACACTGATATTTTTCCAAATCGACTTTCTTTCTAAAGGAGCTATTGTTGCACTACTTTTTCCTTAGAATTAAAGTGATTAACATTCGCTTTCAATGTATTGAAAAGAATAGTTTGGACATTCTGCTAAACTTCTTTAGTGTTCTATGCAAGAAAAGAAGCCATATGTTTTGGAACGACATGAGAGTGAGTAAATTATGACAGAATTTTTATTTTTTGGCACATTATCCCTTAAATATGATGAAAAGCACTGAGCAGATTTACATTTCTTTATGTTTAGCAGCTAATCCCTTAAAAGAGGTGTTTCACAACCCAGTTAAATGGTGTGCTTAGCAAGACATGAACTGTAAAACATTTGGGAAACAAACCAGCATGCTTATGACTTCAAGAAGAGACACAGTTGAAGTTGGATTAATTTACATCTCTGCTTCTGTTTATTTCAACAATGCAGGTTTGCATCGGCTTCCTTCATTTGAAAAATTAAAGCAAAAATTCCATTCAGTTTTATTGTCCCGCTCTAAGATGTTATACTTTTTCATTGTTCTTTTAATATTACAAAACTGTTGTCTTGTTTTCAGCAAGGCCATGCTTTCTCTTGCAAATTTTGTCTTGCACACAATCACTAACATACTCTCTCCCTTTATTTCTGTCAGTTTTGAGTTTGTATAATAAGAGTCTTCTCATTTGGATTCCAAATTGCACAATTAAAACTTCCCATTGTTATGTCAAACTCTTCAGATGAGATGTTAAAATGCTGTCAGACTTTGAAGTCTGTCACAAGCTCTGAATGTGTGAAGACTCCACTGCACCTGTTTCCACAGCTACCAGCGTGATTTGCAGTTGCTACTTAGCGCAGAATACATTAAACTCAGACTCTTAATTGATTAAATACCTCCACCGGCAAATTTCAGGACACACGTGATGAAAAATGCCCTTTGTAGAGCCTATGTGGTTCATTTTGACGAGCTTGAGCCAGGAAAGATGTAGCTCTCCTGAGGGTCTTTCCATCAGGTGGTCTGGACTGGATTTTTTTAGAACTGTTCTGTGAACTTCTTATACTGCCATGACTCAAGAAATATATAATGATATTAAAATTCTGTCCAATACCCATATACTGATGATTCTTTTGTTTTGCTTTGGCCAATAACTGACGAACAGCTAATTATACAATTGTACACTATTTTGTTGAAATACATTAAAATAAAACACAAAGTAAAATCAATCATTTTGTTAGAAGTGAGTTTAGGCATCATAACATTACAATGTACTATATGTACTATATTCATGTACTGTATTCATTGTTTGACATTACAATGTACTGTATTCACTGTATACAATGTACAGATATTCATTGTGAAATTTGTGAAATATTACATTTAACAATGTTATTAATGTATTCATTTTTTTAAGGATCAACTTTAAGTAAGCATTAGATGACGTATAAGTGTGTGTTTGTATACACACACACACATAGATAATTGTATATTATATATTGTAGATCATTGTAATTCCTTGTTTTTATTATTGTGATTGTTTTGATTATTTTAATTACTTTTATGTAAAGCACTTTGAGTATGAAATGTGCTATATAAATAAACTTGCCTATATATTATCATATACATCATACAATATGATTTTATATGTACTACAAATGTAATTATTATTTCATTAATATATTATACCAACATACTATAAACAACATGTATTATTATTATATTAATACATATAAAACAAAAAATACATTAAGTCACAGTTATAAGGTTCTATCTTCATTCTGAGCATTTTTTTTTTGCAAGTTTTTGCATTCCATATAGTGATATGGGATATGGGGAACAAGTCTCTTTCATACATCAGTCCCAAAATGTACACAACTTAAAAAAAAAAAACTTCACAAATTGTAAATAAGTTGTCATAGAAAAAGAATATGTGAATAACTACATTTTGACAAAAATGCAAATAGAACCTTATAATTCCAAGGTGACAATTATATAGTGATGATAATATACAAGCACATTTAAAATATAATGTAAATAAAATATATTGAGCATTCTTAATTAGAATATTTAAGTTGATCTGCTAATTGCCTTTCAGTAGGATCTATTCTGAGACTGCATTGCGATTGACCTCACCTTCCATTCTGATAAACATTATCTATTTAATTAGTCCTAGATATTATTAGCACCCATTATTGGTAATTATACAAACTGAAAGCTTTGGGCTTGTGTGATAACTGGTCTTAGATCAGTTTCTGCTTTTCATTTCCTGGTTAATAGGATTATGATCCCAGATCAGCATTCTTCAGCTGAGACTCAGAATACCGTGGAGCGCTTGTGCCCTCAGAATACCTGCAGCTCCTTAGCAGGCCTGGGACTGCAGCTTAAACGAGAATCGTGGGCTTAGTTTTATCAGTGCCATCCAGATCGGTAGCAATACAAAGCGCAGATCACACACACACACTGCACTGCATGTCTGTGTATGTGTATGTCACCTGATTCATATCAGCCGCTGTAACAACGTCACGTTGTGGTTCCTCTCAAACGGAGGTTCTGTTAGGTGGCATTTGTCCTAATTAAAACAGCACGCATCTGCCATAGCGATGCCAGACCTGAATAAATAAACTGACACGCAAGCTCCGCCAATGACATCTATGACTTCCTGTCGCAAAATAACGCTCCCTGCCTGCAGTCATATGATTTCATCAGAGCCGAGATAGTGAATTAATGCGCTCAGGATGCGCTTCCTTCTCCTCAGCTCTAAGCTCAGCCTCTTCACACACTGGATTATAAAGCTTTATTTGATTTAATGTGGTCACATCCTCAGGCTGTGATGTCAAAAGCACGCATTTTTATGACAAAGTCTCGCTGTGGTGTGTGTGTGGGCTCCATATTCAAAACGGAACAGAATGTGAATGTGGGAAATATTTCAGCGTACAACCAAAGCCACATGCTCTCTCTATCAAACACGCATTCAATAAGAAATATGGCTTGAGCCTATAAACTGATAATAATTTGCACAAATCAGTTTTTTTTTCTGTCCAACAGCATATGAAAGCCTTTCAATTCACTTTATTTGTCTCTTAGTGTCAGCTTTGCTATATAGAAATACATAGAGCCCTTGAATTAACTTGTGTTTGCAATAATTGCAAGCACATAAACCACAAAAAGCAGAATCTTTCTCAAATTAATGATCTAAAAGTCCGGCTTTCATTCCAAAAACAACTGTCTATTTGTGGAGTCCAATATTACTTGTTTATGATTAAACGCAACATTTTTCTTTGTGATGCACAACATCAAACTCACTTAAACAGTATTAGCCCATTTCAAAGGCTTTTTGTACACATCTGTGTCTTCACAGCATGTGTCAAATGAGGCACCGCTCAAGAAACAAATCACGCAGTGACATTCGCAACATCTGGAGATCCCATTCTGCGATATTCTGAATTATGTTTGTCATTATATTATATCATAAAAGTCATTAACACTCTAATCACATAAATATATTTTTAAAACCCTCCAGATAATGGCATTGCAATATGTGTACTTTCTAATTAGAAAAGACAAACTTGACAAACTTTAAATACTGTGTAGACTAAAAAAAAAAAAAATATATATATATATATATATATACTTCTTTGTAGTTAATACATATATGGAGCAGGGTGGAAGAACACTTGATTTCTCAGAATGCCACTCAGTTTAAATAAGCCATGAGAGGCAAAGCATTACAATGATTTTAACTCATTACTATAATTATAATAAAATCACAGTACTGCACAGCCTCTAAACTTATTGGGTTTTTAAAATGGCAAGAACAATAGAAATAAATAAAAATAATAAATACGAGCTATACCGCTGATTAAGCAAAGGATGCTTATGGTTGCCAAGCAACATTCTGTACCAACATTCTGTGACTTATCCAGTCAGGTTCTAGAGCCTGAATTGTTTTACGTTTTATAACTTACTAGGGAGTCAGGTATGCCATATAATGTATTATTTGTGTAGTTTGATCTAGTTGGGTTAAAACATGCCTGCCTGAATTCAGCTGAATTTAAAAAGAGGAGTGTCAGCACTTCCTCTCTGCACAAGATTTCCTAGAAATCTGAAAAAATTAGGATTATGAGATTTTTCTTCTTCCCTTTTAATGTTGGAATTATGTCATTTATGTCATCAGTTTAAAAAAGGTGGTTGTAAGTTGCACGTCATGCTTGCGTCAGCATTAAGTGAGCCTTAGGAAAGTGTTTAAGTGAAGACCTGTGGGAGAGTGAGGGATCTTTATGTAGAGCTGTGACTCACGGAGCTCCAGAGCAGGTGTACATCCATATGCTTCCTTAATTACACTAATCTAGACAATGATTAAAAAACACCATCGCTTAAACATATGATGGCTACGGGTCCCTTCCCCCCCTCCTCCACTGCCTCCAAACACACACACTCACACACAGCACACACACACACACACACACACACACTGCTGAGTCTTGGGTTATAGAGGGGAAAGTGAAAAGTCGTGTATTAGGTAGTCCTGGGAGAGAGCATGAAGGGTCGGACAAATCTGATTGTTCTGGAATTAATTCCATGTAGAACAGTGTCAGAGCAGTGCTGAGAAATATCTGTCAGATTTCATTATGCTCACGGAACAACTTTGAAATCCGAGGGGACGGTAAAACTCGCCCCGTCTTTGCTCTACAGCAATATGCTGCAGCCTTTTATTGGGGATTACGCAATTCCTGGCAGGACACCAGAAACATGAAGTGCTGGAAAAAGCTTTTTTCTGTTTCTTAAAGCAGAAAATGAGACATAGCACGATAGCATGCGTGCAAAGGTTTGTGACCCAGTCTCTGTTGTCCAACATTTTACAAAGTGCCATTCTTTGTTCGTGAAACAACAGACTCTTTCGGTCCTCTGAAGGAACAGACATCTGATCCTCAGAAGTATCATGCTCATTCATGCAACAAATTTTAATGCAGAATTCATATATATGATTAATTCTAATGATTCAATATTTATAATAATTAAGAATTAAGAATGATCTCAACAGACAGAGAGGGAGTGAATAATATCTAGCAGCAGACAGAGCTCTGTCATCATCCACAGAGTAACTCTGCTGTCTCATGTCCTGATTATTCTGGCTTTTTACAGCAAAGGCACATTTACCATCTATGTTTGGAGAGATAATTACACCTGAGGCCCACAGCACTGCAAAGTATGACTCATTATTCAAAAAACACATACTTTAAAAGAAAGCTAGACATCTATTCTGAAGAAAATGTGAGTGGTGCTACTTGCAAAACCTGTTCTGTGTGGTTCTGAGTGGCTGTGCAAGCACTTAAACTATGGTGTCAATATCTCAGCCACCAATAAAATATTTATTTCAGTATTTTGTAATTAGCATGTGTGATTGCAAGAATATCTAGGCATTACTATGTGATTAAAATATACAGCGAGATGGTCACTTGTCTAACAAAATTCATCTGTTCAGCTGTTGGTAATAATTGTCAGATTCAATCTTGATAAACTCGCTCATTCAGTCTTGTTTAGCAAAATGACATTTTGTTAATTTGAGTTGAAACGTTATATTTTCAATAGCCAAATTCCCTGCACACGTTCACACGCAATCTTTGATCAGGAAGTTATTGTAATGCAGCCAAAGATAAATCATGAGAAAGCTGACCCTCCTGTGTCTTTCGTTCATGAATGACCCATCACTAATTAAAACACAGACCTTTGACTTCAGCTTGGTCGCTGTAGTGGATGAATGCTTTTTTCCTCAGAAGTGCTTGTGTATGTCAGGGTCCGGAGAAACACGCAACGCATCTGTATAATAATCACACATACAGCAAACATGAAAGGAGTGGAGCTGTAATTATGCTGAAATAATGCACAGACAGACAGTTTGCACCCACAGTCGCCAGCGCTTACACTTACACCCACTCGCCCACTTCATTTTCCCCATCCGTGCGTCCAATACACAGCATTCATAATGAGACACAGCAAATCTCTGGTGTCCAGCTCTCAACGGCCCCTGATTTAATCAGAGAGAGAGAGAAATGACTTCCTTAAAAACTGTCAAATTATATTGAGTAATCAATTAAAATGAATTTTGTTCTACTGGTTCACTCAGTTAATAGACAATAACTCACTCATCCATGTATACCTTTCTTTTTCAGTCATATACATTCATTTTCACTTTCCAGAGAAGACAATGGAAAATGTATTTGAGTTTATGAGTGCTTTCATTTCGATTGGCTTTTCATATAAAACATTTGCTCTTCCCTAACAGGATTCATTTACAGGCTAAGAGGATGAATATATTACTGCTTTTGTTCCCAATCCTTCCATTTATAGCCCATTTTTGCTTCTGCCCTGAAAAATATATGCATAGACACACACAAAAATCTACGGAAGCCTGTTTCTGCCGTGAAATAAATAAAAAAAAAAAAAAAAGGGCAAAAAAAGGATTCACAAAGTGCATTACACATATGCGTTGTGTTTGTGGCATGTTCTTAACCTGCATATACATGTGTCTTGATCAGTCAGCAGCTTTCTCAACACCTTTCTGCTACTTTAGTTATCCTTTTTTTTCCCATTATTATAAAATAATTGTTTGATTATCATTGTACATTCAACAGCACCCTTATAATAGGTGGCACATTTTTGTTACTAATTATTGTTCAACACTGCTTTGATAATCATTTTGAATTATTTTACAACAGGAAAATCCTCCCTCACGATACAGTTTGTAGAAGGACAATTTGTAGATTCCTATGACCCTACTATTGAAAACAGTGAGTACTGGAATATTTTATTGATATACTGTTTTTCTAGCATTCATAGATTGCATTATTCTAAAATGCCATAATGGACTAATAGGCCTACATGTAGTGACTAGCAATTAGTATATGCTACTAAGTTTTTAAGACCATTATATAATGTAGAAAGAAAGTATGAGAGTTGACAGGGCTGTTTCTGACCATTGACTCATTGGCATTCCTCTGGGGAAAACTATGACTCTTTGCATTTGAAATGAGCCTGTGTGCTGTAATCTGTTAAACAACATAGTGTAACCACTTTTGTTTATTTTTCATTTACTGTTTTTATTATTTTGTTTAGTATTCACTTTCTAGTTTAGTATAAATGTATATATGTATATAAATGTCTTTCTTTATTTTAATGTTTTCGCAAATTTAATGTAAATTTGAATGCTATATATTTATCCCTTTGTGTATGCATATATAACATATATATAACTTGTGTAATAACATTAATTATTCATTAACAAACATTGTTACATAATGTTTAACAGATCGTTAGTTGTTTAAATAGAAATTAGTGTCATTAAAATTTGATTCATGTACTGTTATAATCATATGAATGTTAATGAACCACTTATCTGCTAAGTATAATGTTGTTTAAGGAGTAATTAAAGTTGTGTTATTAGTGTTGCCAACATATTTTTATTTTCATCAAGTGATCAGTAATGACTACTATATAGTGACACCTGTCAGGCTAAACGGGAAACTTGAAAACAAAATTTCATATGCATATATTTCTGAATTCTGTTGTTCTGAATTCTTAATTCACTTTTCAATTCCTGCTTGTGTGCTGTGATCTCAACAGCCATAGTGGAAATTGTATTAAAACATTGTTGCTCCAAAACTACCTTTGAAGGTTCTGATATCCCCAATTCAATTTCTGTTTGCCTTTAAGCTTTTAATAAAATGGTGTCTGTGAATGGCCAGGATTTCAATCTCCAGTTGGTTGACACAGCTGGACAGGTAAGAACACCCCAGCCCAAACTTTCTGTAACTTTTTTCCCCATCATTTTTCATACCAGTTGTCCCCTCCCCTTTTCTGTTTAGGATGAGTATTCCATTTTCCCCCAGTCTCATTCTATGGATATTCATGGTTACGTTCTGGTGTATTCTGTCACTTCAATGAAAAGGTCAGGGTTTTTTTTTTCTTTCTTATACTGTTATGGTTGTTTTCCTTAGTCATATACAGTGCCTTGCGAAAGTATTCATACGCCTTCATTTTTTTTTTTTTTTTTTTTTTCTGAGTTGAAACGTTATATTTTCAATAGCCAAATTCCCTGCACACGTTCACACGCAATCTTTGATCAGGAAGTTATTGTAATGCAGCCAAAGATAAATCATGAGAAAGCTGACCCTCCTGTGTCTTTCGTTCATGAATGACCCATCACTAATTAAAACACAGACCTTTGACTTCAGCTTGGTCGCTGTAGTGGATGAATGCTTTTTTCCTCAGAAGTGCTTGTGTATGTCAGGGTCCGGAGAAACACGCAACGCATCTGTATAATAATCACACATACAGCAAACATGAAAGGAGTGGAGCTGTAATTATGCTGAAATAATGCACAGACAGACAGTTTGCACCCACAGTCGCCAGCGCTTACACTTACACCCACTCGCCCACTTCATTTTCCCCATCCGTGCGTCCAATACACAGCATTCATAATGAGACACAGCAAATCTCTGGTGTCCAGCTCTCAACGGCCCCTGATTTAATCAGAGAGAGAGAGAAATGACTTCCTTAAAAACTGTCAAATTATATTGAGTAATCAATTAAAATGAATTTTGTTCTACTGGTTCACTCAGTTAATAGACAATAACTCACTCATCCATGTATACCTTTCTTTTTCAGTCATATACATTCATTTTCACTTTCCAGAGAAGACAATGGAAAATGTATTTGAGTTTATGAGTGCTTTCATTTCGATTGGCTTTTCATATAAAACATTTGCTCTTCCCTAACAGGATTCATTTACAGGCTAAGAGGATGAATATATTACTGCTTTTGTTCCCAATCCTTCCATTTATAGCCCATTTTTGCTTCTGCCCTGAAAAATATATGCATAGACACACACAAAAATCTACGGAAGCCTGTTTCTGCCGTGAAATAAATAAAAAAAAAAAAAAAAGGTAAAAGTGTGTGTGTTTTTTTTAATCTCACAATCTGGATTTGTTTTCCTGAGAAAAACAAATAATTGTATAAACTCAGAATTACAAGACATAAACTTCCCCCAATTGTAGGGGGAAAAAGTCAAAATTATGATATAAATTCAGAATTGCATATAAACTCTATTTTGACTTTAAATATATTACATGTTTCTGTAACCTAAGCTACAGAAAACTATAAAGAGATGCAGAGTTACAGTATGCGTATAAGTAACTGTAATTAAATGCTAGCTCAACTACAATGCTCCTAAGAGAGTTGAGCCTTCAACCTGAGCTTTATAGACTTTTTTTCTTTCTTTTTCATTTCCCTTGACTTTCCTCCTGAACTCCTGCCTGTCAGAATCAATGAAACGGCTGGGTAACACACTAGCCGAGTATTATTAGCATAAAAGGGCATTTTGTCTTGTGTGGATCAATTGTTTCTATAAACAAAGACCTTGTAATTAAAACCCAACTAGGAGTTTCTTTGGTACAGTAGTGTGTTGGAAATGAACACTGGAATACCGGAGACAGGGGATGCAGGGGGGAAAAACCCTGAAGGGGGTTTGAGGTCATTATATCTAGTTGAGCATAGATGGAAACCTCATGCAGAGATTTCATTTAATGATCAGCTAAAGATCAAACACACTTTCACTGTGCACCAGAATCTGATCACTGCTGACGTGGCCGAGAGAGATGGAACAAAATGAACAAATGCATTTCTGAGTGGGTCATGAACCACGTGGAGGTGGATGTGAGGACCATCTCACTCATGTTTGTGGACCATGAACCTTCTAATGAGGATCTAAACCATTTAAAAATCGACCTTACTAATGAGTAAATATTTTTTACACAGCTTTTTAACTCTAGCAAACTAATTCTAGTGTATTCTGCGCCACTGCACATTATTGACACAACAACAACATATTTCAATATAAACATTCTTAAAGCAGTGTTATTGACTGTCATTTTATAATATGAAAACACTAAGCTTTATATTCAAACAATAATCTAAATTAAATTCAGTCTGAGTCTCTGAAATTCATATTCATGTACAACTGTAAAGAAAACGTGTACAGTATGTGAAATCTGCAATTTTTAGTTTGTATTCGCTTTGATGTTACAGTAGATTCAGTCTTTGGTCCTAACATTCATCTTGGTGAAGACAATTCAGAAAAACTTGGAAGGGAAATAAAGCAAGTATTTTTTTTTTTAGCTGTTTGGCACATCAAACAATCCCCAGCTTTTGTTTAAGATTACACACACACAATTAAAAGCTGTACATTTCCTTGTGGCACTTTTCTAAGTAAAAATCATAGATTTGCTTACTTAATCCAAGCACATCTCTCTAAAAAATTTGCGGCTGAAAATAAATGAGAATTACCATTTGCTCTTGGGCAGTCAGAGATATTCAATTATCATAAAACTATCATTCCAGTGCATATGTCTATTGTAAAAGGAGACAGCACTGTCAGCTGTAGATATATACAAACAATCCCACTCATTACCGTGTGCTCACTGAATGCTCTTTTGTTCAAGCTAATATGTAGACTATGCCTCAGGCCCATTGCTTGAAGTAATGGAATACCAGCGCTGCTCTAATTAGGCTTGAGCCTGATTATTACAGAGACCTAATTAAAGATATTTCTTATGCCTCTTATGAAGCTCGGTATGTTTAAGATTCAGCATAAACCTTGGGCAAACACCTGAAGCTGAATAACCGGAAAGCCTCCATATAGAAATGAAAAACTAGATACTGAGAAGTTCATGATAATTTCAAACTACAAGGTGACGTCATAAATTCATATTTTGGGTTCAGTACAAGTTAAAATCAATCAACAGCATTTGTGGCATGATGTTGATTAGCTCAAGATTTAAGTTCCACTTTTTTCCTTACAAAAGTCTGCAAGGCACTTAAACTGGAAGTGGTTGAGGCCGATTCATAAACATTAAAATACCCACTGTTTCAACAGTATATGCACAAGACAAGTGTTAACACAATTTTGGTGTGGAATAAAAAATGCCAACAGAATGGCATAAACCCTGTAATGACTGTAAAGTGTTTCATTAAATAGCTTTACAACTCAAATAAATTGTAACAAGAATTACTCTAAGTATTTCTGATCGCATAGATTATATATAAGAATGGACTTATAGAAGCCTGTTTCCACTTTAGAGTAAAAAAAAAGACAACGGCAACCTTATTTGGTGTTGTTGCCACTTCACATTTCATCGCTCACAAAATATAATAGCAGCTCTCATAATTTCAACTTTACATCTTACAACATAAGTCACATTGTGAGCTATAAAGTCACAATTATGACTTTATATTGCACAACATGATCTTATTTTCTTTAGATTTCTAATTTTAAACTTTATCTGACATTATTTTTTTCACTCTGAGGCTGAAAGTGCCAGGACAACACCGGAACATTTAAAGAATACAAGAATGCGCCAAACAAATGGTTCAGTAATCATCATTGAAATGCAAATGAAAGTCTTACTACAGTCAAGGAGTGGTAACTACTCACTGTAATTAGTGCTATGAGCTGTAATTAGGACTATATGGCGGTCTCGTCACCGTCTGAGCCCAGACTTATTTGATTATAGGTGAATTAGAGTACATTTCCAAAATGCACAGAGTTGTTGCCTGTTTATGATGTTGCGACTTTCTTATTTGCTAAATGCTCTTTCTATCATGCACTTACTTGCAATTATCATGTAATTATCTGAGTGCTTCTCAAAGAGAATAAACAAACAAAATGCATACAGATCATCTGAGGAGTGGTGACATCTGCATCTTTACAATAGGAATACTGATCTGTTTCTGCCTTTGTGATGGAGTCTCTGTGACAGAAATGGCACATGTTGTCAGTGGGCACTGCAGGGAAAGAATAAAAAGAGATTGAGATATTGTATTTGGCATTGTTTTTCTTTTGTGCACATCATCTACAATATAGCTGTGTGAAGCTTCAGGGAGAAAATCCCCAAGGCCAGAAACTTTTCTAAAGACATGAATGCTCAAATCGAATTTGTACTTGACACTAGCATAGAGAAATATTTTCAAGGTATTTCATTTGGTGTTGATCCTTTTAAATTATTCATATACTTAGTTCTAAGGCTTTGAAAATACAAAAGCCTGGCTTCAGATTATATGATGTAATATTTAATTTAAAAGTGTCAAAACTTAAACACACCTCCTACAGCTGAATTTAAAGTACCGTTGGCAGTACAAAACACTTCCTAAAACTATAGACTTGTTGTGACATGGATGGATCTCTGGTGTTGTGTAAAGTACAGCTGATCTTCACCTGTTTGTCATCATGTTTGCTGTGTTGTTACCATTCACAGCAGCAAATTTGCTTTTGATCAAACTTAAACTTAATTTGAGAAATATGACCTCAACAAAGTACAACAGACAAGCCAAAAATATTAGGTATAAGCACTTCCTGCAAAGTTTTATATTTTAAAATAGAATTCATAAAACGGACCTCCCGTTAATCAAAAGTATTTGCAATACACACAAAAAAGATTGTCTCTCTCTTTTTTTAAAGGAATCTTAATCTCATATTTGCAAATTTACATTTACAATTACAATATAAAATTACTAACAATTATTTTAAATATAATATATTTTTATACTTTTAAGTTTTATATAATAATTGTAAATTTATAAAAAAGCTAAGAATTACAGCTCACTTGTCAACAGCCAATCAAAGTGATGTGGACCTGCAGTGCATTAATTATGAAAAGTCCAATTTATTAAAAATATCTCAAATATGAGAAAAAGTTTGAAGGTGAGAAATAAAAGTATTCACCAAAAATAATGCACTTCAAAAATAATAACAATGATAAAACATTAATAACAAACACAAACATTTGCAGGGCCCCAGGCAATGATCCCTTTCAGCCAGAGCCACAATATATCCTTGAATGTACTAAACTTGAATCAAAATAGTACAGATCTAAAGCTACAAAGCAGTGATCCTCAAATCTGGCTCGCGAGATCCACTTTCCTGCAGAGTTTAGCTCCAACCCTATAATCAAACAAACCTACCCG